TTAAGTTATCCTGACAACCCTGCAGCAAACAAATATTTGACTATGACCAGACAGAATCTGCGCCTAGTCATTGCCAAGTATGAAAGCATCTCCATATCATGGGGCTGTCAGAATCCGCACTCTGCAGAGGGCGCGCACAAGAAGATGAGACCATAGAGCATATCCTGTACGATTGCTGGACGCTCGCATTTATTAGAAGATTTGTGTTCGGCGAGTACCGGCCGATATAAGAGAAGTACCTCTTGGCAAAATTGTCAACTACATTAAATCTGTAGGCTGGCTCATGAGCTAGGAGGTGCCTATCTTCTCAGGAGGATGCACAATGGGCCTAATGAGGCCTAAGTGCCGTGAGGTAACCCACCCTCCACACATTACAGATACAGAGAAGATCTCGACAAAAATAGATGTCTATTAAAATGGTAGCAAGCAAAAAAATCCCAACTGCATTAAATCTAGCGAGAAAATTCCTCTGTACTACAGCAGAAAATATTGTTCTTCTGAAATATAGATAAACCAGTAAGTCTTAATGAAAATAAGAAGGTTGTATCTGCGAGAACTTAAAATTTAAAATGTATTTATTTATCATGTTTGGCTTATTAAAAATTTAAATATTTCTTTCTACAAATTATACTTCTTTTGTATGCTTACAACACATACATTATCATACTTGTAGATTGTCCCTTACCTATTTATCCTAAAGTAAGATTCGTATCTTAAATAAGAGTTGGAATCCGGTTCCTATATTTAAATCCGGTAACGGATACATCCGGATCCGGTTTTTTAAATGATCCACGATCCGTTAAAAATTCAAATCCATTCACCACAGAGCTGTGATAAGTATTAAGCAAATGTACTTTAAGTAACCAGTATTAAGTAATTTAAATTCCAAATCTACTTAAAATATTAAGTATAAGTATTTTACGAAATTACTTAAAATATTAAGTATTTTACTTAAAACAAATAATTCAAGTATAAGTAGCAAGTACATACTTTAAAAATACTTAAAGTAAATTCAATATACTGAAGTAATTCTAAGTACTGAAAATATGTTAAAAATACTTAAAGTACTTTTGAAGATTCAGTATTTTGAAATACTAATTACTTAAGTCATGTTTTAAGTTTTAAGTATACAGGGTGTTATTGAAATACACGTACATATTAAAACTGGGTATTGCGCAGATCCCCACTGAATGTAGAAAAATATTATTTTTAAAAAATACCCCTTATTAAGGGAGTTATTCATTTTTGAAAATTAATTCTAAAACAAACGTACTTCACTGATATATTGAGGATGACCTATATAAATTAGGTTTATTTACCTATTTTAAACATCAACAGTAATTAATATGCAAGTTTTTGTCAGATGATAAGAAAACTAGTCTTGTAAGAAATAACCATGTTGCCAAGATTTTCGAATTAATTTCTATTTCCGAAGACTGATTTTTACTACCCTCGTTATCAAAAAATATTTGATAAATGATTGTTTTTAAACTATACATTTTTGAAACTATAGATTATTAAAATTTTAGTTGATTTACGAATCTGGCTAACACGAGCGCGTCATTTCCAAGTTGGTAAAAAGTGTTGTTACGATTACTTTTAAATATTTTTTTACGATGCCACTATTTACGAATATTGAACTAACGGATATAGTGCTGGTTTATGGGGCAGCTGGAGAAAATTCTCGGCAAGCACAAATCCTGTATCGCGAACGGTTTCCAAATCGGAGAATTCCGGACTGTCGTACGTTTATTTCAACTGTTCAGCATCTAAGAGACCATGGAAAATTTGAGAGTGTCAATGCAGATCGAGGGAGAACAAGAACACAAAGAACATTGGCGGCCGAAGAAGAAATATTGGAAGCTGTTGAAAACCGGCCTCAATTAAGTTGTAGAAGACTAGGTCTTGAAATTGGAGTGTCCTCATTTGTTGTGTGGCGGACACTTAAAGAACAAGGTTTACATCCTTATCACATCCAAAAAGTATAAGCCTTATATCCAGGTGATGAAGAAAAGAGAGTGGAGTTTTGTGAATGGATGATTCAAAAATGTGTTGATATTCCTGATTTTCTAAAAATATTATTGTATACTGACGAGGCTTCATTCACTCGTGATGGCGTGTTCAATATGCACAATACGCATATTTGGAGTGATGAAAATCCTCACGCCATTAGGGAAACTGGGCATCAAAGAAAATTTTCAATAAATGTTTGGGCTGGCATAATAGATCAGTATTTAATCGGGCCTTATGTTCTCCCGAACAGATTAAATGGACCAGGATATCTCCACTTTTTAGAAGATATTTTGCCAGTACTCCTAGAAGAGATACCGTTACAATTAAGGCAACGGATGTGGTACCTACTAGATGGCGCTCCTCCTCACTTTGATTTAAACGTACGGCAGTTTTTGAACATTAGATTTCCTCAAAAGTGGATAGGCAGAAATGGACCTACTAAGTGGCCTCCGAGATCTCCGGACTTAAATCCATGCGATTTCTTTTTGTGGGGTCACATGAAACAACTGGTTTATAATGAACCTATTAATAGTGTTGAACAATTAACCAATAAAGTTAATGCGGTAGCCGAGGAACTACGACAAAATCCAAGACTAATTTCTAATGTTCAAAGTTCTTTGGAAAGACGATTGCAAGTGTGTGTAAATAATAATGGACGGCATTTTGAACAATTACTGTAATAAACTTTATTTTGAATTAATTGGTTTTGCTACGGCAACAGTGCAATTTCTATGGGTAAGTTCAATTTCGATTTATTTTACTTCTTTAAATATGGAAACTAGTAGGTCGGAAAAGGGGACTCTTCCCCAATATTTAAATTTTAGAATTTGAAGTTAAAATTGGTGGCAATCGTTTTTGGTCATTACATACTATTCCCCATTTTAATATGTACGTGTATTTCAATAACACCCTGTATATTAAATTAAAGATCCCCTCTTAAAACTCAACATATACCTATAGTTTTGTATTAATTTATAAAGTACGCTACTATTTCGTTTAGACATTACCAGTAAAAATAGCCATCCAATATGTTTGTATGTGTATAACATACATTATACTTTATAAATAACTGTTTAATAATATTGTATTCGTTCAGCATTGACAAGGTGGTCGTTTCAGGTATTTGAGGAATTAAATTCCTACTGGTTCTGAAAAGTATCAGTAGAATGGAGCCTTATAGCAGTATCCGAAGAAACAACAACCTCGACATCATCCTTAAAATCAAATTACGCGTCTTTAAGGTCTTCTTGGGCTGTCAAGTCGGGCGCAACTGATACTTTAAAGGCCAAAGCACTACTCGATATCCAAGATTGAATATTTTTTGCGGTTACTTGAACATCAGTATCTTTGAAGGCTCTCAACCATCTCATTTTAAATCTAGTATTGGTTACTGCTGCTATAACGGCTATCTTAGACTGCAAGGTAAAAACACGATGGAATCGTTCACGATTAGAGTTCAAAATGTAATCCATGGACTTAGATAGCTGTGTGATTGTACCAGACAATTTAATTTTCTCAAGTTTTGTGTGCATTGATATAATACTGAACCCAACAAAAAGACAGGTTTCATATTGTTTTACTTACCTATCTAATTCACAGTTATGTTCAGATACTGTCTGTTTCTGTAGACTATACACTATCTTAGGACTGTATGCTTATTACTCTTATTACGAGTAGTATTATTAATACCAGGTATCGGTGAACTACAAGTCCGGCATCGGCACACGTTAGACGTCGTGTGTCGCAAAGATTTGATTTGTTTGAGCGTGTTTACTGTCACTTTACTGTACTGTTTACTGTCCGGGTAATATGAAATGCGAGTCCTAGCTTGTTTGGCGTTGCAGTATTTTTAATAAAATACTTAAAGTAAACATGTACTTAAAAGAATTTAAAAAGTACTTTAATTATTTTCCATTTAAGTACTTACTGTTAAAAATTACTTAAGTATTTTCAGAAAAAACTTTAAGTAGATCCTGATTTTCCAGTAGATTTTTCAAGTAACAAGTAATACTTACCACACAAGCGCTAATTAAAGTATAAGTACAAGTACTTTTTTTCAAATGTAATAAGTACATTTCCAAAAGTATCGTTAGTTTATAAATACTTTAAGTAAAATACTTAAAGTATAAAAATACTGATTATTTATTTCAAGTACATTTTTGTACTCAGTACCTCAGCTCTGATTCACCATTAACAAAATACACAAATAGTACATAAATATTACACAAAATATACAAATAGTACAGATTGTTGGTAAACCATAGTACATCAGAGGTTTGCTCCTCGGTTTTAGGTATCAATGAAACTAAACGAAACATATTTTATTCAAAGCCTTTCGGCAGCGATTAGAACCTTCTTCAGTACTTTATTCTTTGAAACTCCTCTTTTTTACTATTTTAGTGATTACCTACATCATAATTATATTTTGTCTCCTTTTTTCACTATTTACAGGTTTTTTCTTATATTATAGTATTAAAACATCGGACAATCCAAATAATATTTAGGAAACATAGGTTGAAGACATAAAAATACTAAAAATGCTTCTACTACATTAAGAAAACAAATTAGTATTGCATGTATTTGACTATGAAAAAGAAAAATACTAGACAGTAAACAAAATTTTAAAACAAGAATTCCTTGAAATGGTTCATAAATAACTCCAATAGTATAAACGAGTGACATAAAGTGTATAAATCAAAGTTTGGTTACTTTATCATTTTTTAATTTCTTATGGTGAGTATATTTACTAAGTATACTAAGATAGCACCTTGAATAATTGAAAAAGTAGGGATTTCAACAAAATTAAATTGCGATTCAATGGTAAATAGTAAGTAAAACAAGTACAACATGAAAGAGATAATAAAAACCTTGTAAAAGGAAAATAAAAGGACCTTAGACAAATTAAATGAAAACAAATGGCAATAGTGAATATAATTGTAATTATTGAAAATTTAAATATAAAAAATAAGATTTTCTACTGTACTTACAGCAAACACTCTATTTCCCAATTCACTTATCTGATTATAAGACAAATCAAGAATTTCTACCTCCGCTGGTATACCAATTTCTGCAGACACAAGTTTTTTACTTTGACATACCGCCCGTTTAAAATTTTTAAATAAATCACAGTTACAGTAATCAGGACACACCACTTCCCTCAATTTTGCTTCTACATTATAAAGTAATAATATGCATAAAAAGAAGGATTTAAAATCCATTGTCATGTTGCTGTATTAACTATTTTTTAACGAAATTATTGTGTTCTCATTTTATGAGTAATCGTTACTATAACGCTACAAAAGTTTGTTTTTGTTGTATCAGTGTTTTAGTCAACGATAAGTTTGATAAGAGATAAGAAACGGGAAAGTGTACAGAGATAAACGTGATTTCATTTAGCTGATTATATTAAAAGTGCGATTATAGACTCGTTCACCCACTTTGCTAAAATTATTTATTATCTGAAAAGGTGTTACTTAAATTGAAAATAAGCGAAGAAGGTCGTCAACTTCTCAAATGTGAGAGTTGGTATTCGAAGAAACATTCTAATGCAGTGTTAGTGACTTGTTCCAGATCTGGACCAATTTTTATCCATCTACAATGTACTACCTTACAGTTTTATTTTCCACGACTTGCAATAGGTTTACAGCGTTTTTTTCAGATGTTTATTTTATGCATAAAATAATTCAATATTTTCCATTAGTTATATGTACATTTAAAACTAATTGTTTCTAGTAATATAACAAACAAATACATAACCTTACATTCTGACGATTAGACAACAATGCAATGCCTTAACGTATAAACGATCTCTGACGTGCATCGGGATTTGTATTAAAAATACTATAATTTTATTTGCTCACATAATTCCTCATTTAAAAATAAAAATCCCTTTTGTACAAGGTGGGCCACAGTAATAGATCGTTTTTGGAAACGCTAGTACTCAGCCGTAAGAAGGTGATTGCTTGTATAATGTATATACAGAGTGGCCCAAAAGTCTGGAAACGGCCAATTATCTCGTAAAATGCTAGTCCTAATTGTACAAAATTTGGGATACACCTATTTTGGGATACGCTGATTCCAGATTTGATATTTGCCGTTTCTCTTAAATTATTAGTCACTTTGGTTTTTCAAATTCACCACCCTGTATATTCAGTCATAATTGGAATCTCCTATTTAATACGAGTTCAACCATATGTAACACCTATGATTTTATGTAGTCTGGAAGGTCTTAAATAAATAAAATAAGTCTGGCAACGCCTAATTGTCTCAATAAATTTTTTAATACAAACTATTTTCAACTACATTAAAACGTAACAATTAATAGATTATAACATTTTTAACATAATGGTTACTTCATCAAGTGTTCAAAATGTGCTCCATTTGTGAATTGACAGTACCCTAATCGATGGTAGAATGCGTCTACCACATTTCTTCATGATTGTTTAGTTAGCTTTAGTTAGATTAAATTACATTTAGAAGCATAGAGTTGTAATCCAGTAACTGAAGGGACCAACATGTCATTAAGTTGGTCCAGATATCCGTTGTGGCTCAACTCTTAGGTCTCGGCGGTCGCTTCCAAGGTCGACAACTTTTACCAACTCTGCTGCGTCGGAAAGGGCCCAAAATGGACCCTAAAACTGGTTTCCCGCCAATATCTTCCACAATATGCAAAAAAGAAAGATCTTATCATTATCTACAAAAATGGTCTCTATCATTTTTGTCGGGAATTAGACAGATTTCGAGATAACCGCAAATAAGTCACCTCGTTCAGCCCCTGATTTATTATTATTATTTCCTGTCAAGAACATTGAAAAAAGGGTCAAAGTTGCGTTTTACCCACTATTTTGCACCACTTTATAGTAATTCATTCATATTTTTTTTTTTTTTTAATAGATTTGTATCCCATTTTTGTTTTAAATATGATCTTGAGATGTCTCGAATGATCTCAGAAATTTTTTTCCAGTATCTTTCTGGCATTTTAAAACAAAATTGATTTGATTATTTGCATTTTTCATACGTTTTCGGAGTTCTAGAAATCTTTGAAACAAGCAGTAATTAAAAACTCATATTTCATTATATTGTTATTCAATGCACACCATTTTAAAGCTTAGAGTGTCTACTTTTCGAATGTATTTTTTTTTAAAGTTGCTCCATTTTCCAGAAATCTTCTACTATTAATAATTATACTGAGAAAAACTTTTTAGTTGATATTCCCATTTTTTTTTTTTTTAACAAATTGGCCGATCATCCTAAGATCCGCTACTGCAATGCATATACATTTTTCTCACTAGATACCACCTCCAGTCGCCCTCATGCAAAACTTCTCATTAACCATCACAGTTATTTCTCCAGAAGTGTAAGTACATAGAGAACGCTTAAACAATGCTCGCCACCAAACTATAGAGGAAAGAGATTCGTCTCTGCATTTGTCATGTACAAGGATAGGGCGGGGGGGCAGCAGGGGGGCGCTCTCAACCCCCGGACTCTCTGAAACTGGAAACTTGGGCTGGCCGAGAGTGTCATTACAAGCAGCGGCCATGGCTTGGCCCCCGTCCACCCTCTCTGCCGCAGGGGGTGAAACAAAAGACAGAATAATCCATAGGGTTGTTGACCAATGGCGTGCTAGCTTTGAAGAGAGCTTTCTACCGGGTAGTTTGTAATTTTAGCGGCCTTTCTCTCCTGTGCATTCCCTAATTATGAATTAAGTTTATTCTTGTCTGCCGTGATTTTGTATTATGTTGTATGTACTTTAATGGTTAGATGCCTTGAGTGGGAAAGTTGCTCTCAGGCGTTTAATAGTTTCTAATGCAAATTGAATGTAATGACACTTTTGAAATATGTTACAAGTTGGTATTTATACAGGTAAGTACTATACTTTTATAGGCCGGTTACAAACATTCGTTTTAGGTATTCGATTTCCGAATGAACTATAACAGTCAAAAATTACAGATTAGTCTTTTTTAAACTTTAACATTTAAATTTTGGCAAAATTTTGCCGTTCAGATTATAAGGCCGAAGAAAGAAATTTTATGTCCTCTATGTTTCGTGACGTGTACCACTAAATTCGGAGATTTTAAATTTTGTTGACAAATTTCTGCTTTTATTTTCCTATAAATTCCATATCAACTTATGTGTATTGTAGGAAGAGTAAAACAGAAAAATAATCTGTGTCTATTCTTTATTTTAAAAACTTTGGACAATGCATGAAGTGGTGTAACAACTAAATAAAAAGGTAGCGCCGTTTAAAATTTAATGATATCTATATTTTAAAATGTTTGTGGTTGTCGATGTGAATTTTAAATAAATAATAAGATAGCTATAATAAAAATTCCAATACATTCTTTTTTACTTGGATAGGCGATTAGTTTTTATAAATTTAAACGAAAATAAAAAATATGTTTTAAATTTGCCTTTAATTAGTATATTTACCTCCAGTCAAATTGTTTATAAACCTAAACCCCTTGAACTGCATTTAGACGGTACCACGCCCATTTACAATATTTGCAACGTCATTATATTCCCTAAAAACCAAGTAACAGAAACATCATATACAGGGTGATTCATTGGAAATCATTTACTGTTGGTGGAGGTCACCAAGGTCACCGTTTATAACCGAGACACTGGATGTTTTATCAATTTTGTCTATTTACTTCCTTATTTATTGCTTGGGAAACACCGCTTTGATTTTTTTGATATTTTGGGCACTTGTCATCCATATCTTGTTGAATAAACTAATATTTAAAAAAGTACAAAAATGCAGGTCCGGCTTAGATAAAAATTAACAAATTTTTTTCATCCTAAAAACAATACCATGTATATTTGATTTCTTATAATTCATTTCCATATTTAGAAAAAAACACAAAAAAAATGAATTCAACGATATTATTTTAATTTGGAAACAGACGATTTTAATATTCAAATTTTAAATTTAAATTCTTATTTTTGAGCCTTTTCATGGTATAAAATTAAATAAGAGTTTTATTAGTTCTATTACGTAAATATTTTTCATTTTAAAATGTAACTAGTTTTGTTCAAAAAGGCCTGTAAAAATAGCAAAATTAAAACTAAAATAAATAGAAAAGTTTGAGTCAAGCGAATGTTATCAACAAACGTAGAAACAATTTTTATAATGTAATGGAATCAAAAAAGAAATACTACATCATAAAACAGTAACACAAATAATTCTAAACTCTATTAAACAAATAAGTAACAATTATCTTCAGACCAGACAAAAAGCCGGAACAAATCTAGGAGAAATTGGTAAGTAAATTAATTTAAGATAAATTTTAAAGTCAATAATTTTTTTTTGTTTAAAACCCTATAGTAAAATTGTTAAAATATTTTAATTTTTTTGAAGTCGGTTAAAAATAATATACTAACAATATGCCATTAAAGTTAAGAGTAAAAATAACAAATTTAAGCCACGCTTTAAATTACTAATAAAAATTTTAACAGATTTTTAACTCGCTAGATGGTGCTACAATCAAAAGTAAAGCAATAGTCATATTGCTGAATTTTACATAAAAACCTAACCTAACCCTATTTAAAATTAATAATTACTACTAATAATCGGAATTAACATGGGCCACTCTGTAAGAAAGAAAAATATAATTGTTAAGCTAAATTCAAAAATTAAAATATCTGGCTAATAAACAATCGATAAATGGTGAAATTATTTTTACTTAATTGAACATTTTTATTCTACAGTACCAAAAGATTTTTAAAAAGCCATTTTGAACAATAAATCTGTAGAACAAGTTATAAAAGTAATTTTAAAAAAACGACTTTAAAATCGTGCATATCTTGACTACATGTATATAGGACCACCTCTGAGGTACCCCCTTTCTAACAAAAAAAGAATTATAAAAATCGGACAACGTACTAAAGAATTATCGCTGAACATACATTAAAAAATTAAGTGTTTGAGGATGTTTGTATAGACGCCATTAACAGATCTTGATATGGGACCACTCCTGAGGTACGCCTTTCCAACAAAACAAGAATCATAGAAATCAGACAACATTGTAAATAATTATTGCTGAACATACATAAAAATATTTCGACGAAATAAAAACTTCCTTCTTTCTTGAAGTCGGTTAAAAAGAGAGTGCTAATAAAAATAAAGAGCTATTTAATAGCTATATATGCAACCAGTTATGAAACGCCATATTTTACGTAAAGAGTGAATATTTGATGGACGAACAGAGCGAGGTCCCGCAACATGAACGAGATACATATAACGGCATTCTGTAACGTTTTACAAAAAATATGTTCTCTAATTTTGACTAGATTATTTATTAAATTGTGATTTGGTAAAATATTACTGACA